CGAAAAAAAAAAAAAAAAACTTACCTACAGTGATGCGCTGGGGTCGCCTGGTGGCCAACCGGGCGCGACAACCGGCCAGGTGGCCCGGCCCCCACCCCGGGCGACGACCAGGCTGTCGGGCAGCCCGGGGACAAGTCACTTTTCATAAAATGCCATTCAAGAGGTTTTTCATAAGATGCCATTCAAGAGATTCAGAAGAGCAAAAGAGTTGAAGAATCCACGTATAGACATCAACATTATAATGAGGAAGCAAAGGAGCTCCCTGGTTGGAACGGGAGGCATGAGGACATAATGGAAGTTGCAGCAAGCAGAGCCTTAGACAGGGGATGGCATTAAAGAGGGGCAGGTGGAAACTCTGCCCGTTAGGCGGCAAGAAGACCTATAGACAGGGAATGGCATCAAGGAGGCGCAGGTCGAGACTCTGCCCACTAGGACATGTGAATGTACAAGCAAGCAAGGCAGGGAGGCAGGGAGGCAGGGAGGCAGGGAGGCAGGGAAAGAAGGAGGGAGGGAGGGAGGGAGGGAGGCAAGGGGGGAGATGGAAGGAAGGGAGGGAGGGGGGGAGGGATGGAAGGAAGGGTAGCTAAGGGCAGAGAAGCAAGAAAGGAGGAAGGGAGGAAAGACGGAAGAAAAGAAGGTAGCTAAGGGAAGAGAGAGCTGATCGAGCAATGGGGAGCCAAGAAATACCATCTGTTTTGTCGACGTTCTTCCATGCGTCCTCTCCACCAAGAACATCGTCTACCTCCTTCTTCTTGATTGGCAGCTTCTTTGACACCTGTCCGTTAGTCAAAGAGCCACGTGCAAGTGAGCCACTCCGCACAAAGGGACACATGTTGGTCAAAAGCCTTCACTTCAGCATCATCAAGGCGCCCCAAACGATCTGGAATTCTACATCCCAAATGATCATTTACTACAATGGAACGTCGCCACTAATTTGAAAGCAGTTGATACACCATGACTTCTGTCATAAGAGTTACAAACAAATGTGCCCCAAAGGGAGAATTCTCATGCCATTCTGCCAGTTGGCTCAAGCTTCACAAACTTCACACGCCTTTGTCGTCTACAAGTCAGGAGAGAAAAAAACCTTCGTCCTCCTCCTCTTCTTCTTCGATTCTTCTTTGATTCTCCATCTCGAAATACTCTGTTTCTCACCACTGATGATGAACATCAATGGACAAAAATTAATAGTTTGGGCAATTGGGCTTCGCCACAAGAGAGGCACATCATATATACAATCATTTCCCGTGAATCCATACCAAACCAGCATTCCCAATTCAGTAAGTTTTGTCCAAGGAAAGCCTGGTAAAAGACAAAAGAAAGGAAAAATTGAACCGGCGAATTCACTGTTTGCAACACTCTTTTTTTTTTTTTTTTTACCCCTTTCAAAACACCGCCACATTAGAGTGCTGATACCATTATCCTTTTAATCACTTTTGCTTGTCCACTTAGTTTTGACTCTCTCTCTCTCTCTCTCTCTCTCTCTCTCTCTCTCTCTCTCTCTCTCTGTGTCTGCCTGCCTGCCTGTCTGTCTGTCTGTCTGTCTGTCTGTCTGTCTGTCTGTCTGTCTGTCTCTCTCTCTCTCTCTCTCTCTCTCTCTCTCTCTCTCTCTCTCTCTCTCTCTCTCTCTCTCTCTC